AGAATATCATCCACATTCGTAGAATCCATTTCTAACTCACTGCATGAATGTTCTTCACGGTCCGAATTTAAATCCAATGCTTACCATAATTTAACGCACAGAATACCAAATAAAAACCCACAGTCGAAAGTAAATCCGGAGCATTTAGCAAGAAAATACACCACATTCTTAGACATGAAGGCAGCGCCGGAGCAAGGTTATCCAGCACCCGCCTAACAAAATAGCTAGAATATTTTGAAGATAACATTTGTTAATTTTTTTACGAGAATAATTTATTTTTCTGCATTTCATATTTACAGATTTTTCCATAATTTCTTTTGCAACTTATCTCTTGACAGATTTAATTTTCAGTGGTAATCAAATCTAGGTTTATGAGTCTTTCTTGCGATAAACTTAACCATAAACATGTCTTGATCAATTTTAATTTGGAGAATGATTTTTTTTGCTACTAGAAACACTAACAGGAATGTTGAGTAATATTCTCAATGTGATCTTCAAGTTCGTGAAGCACAAATGATTTGACACAATTAAGTTCAGTATATCGAATGGATAATTCATACTGGCTGTAAAAATGTCTTTCGAAGCTACTGTTTGGTCATAAAGGTCTGCGTTAATATCTTTATTGTCACCACAACGTAATTTCAAATTTGCATTATCGATTTCTGATAAATTAGTGTGGGAATCGTGCCTCAACGAAGCACCAGATGTCGCTATCTATATCTACTTTGTAGGAACTCTCTAGGTAAACACATCTTCACTTGGTTCGAGAAGTCCGACAGAAGCGGTCTAACAGAACGCTCGCGAAGGAGCTACAACTAGACGCTTACTGGTCACGCGTAGGCGATCGGACTTGGAACTTATCTAAAGTGATCGCACGTAGGTGGTCAGCTGTGACTTTTACATCTCCATACTGGAAACCAGTGTTGTGATTACTTCCTAACATATTTAATCCATTTGTACATACTCATTCCGTTTATCTTTTCTCTATGAACCAGGAATAAAAACCTGATACTTTGAATCGTGAGTGTGATCTCTGTTTGATGATAAGACGTCACCCTCACATTAGCGAGGAAACTAAAATTATCTCAGTGATTTTTCGTTGCATCTAACCTTTCATTTAATGATGCCCAAGCAATATCCAAAATTCTAAAAAAGACATTTGCCCTAAACTTTTGGAGATGAAGGGGATTCGTCAGAATGTTCGTAATCGAAGTGACATTTCTTTTTCTTTCGTCGGACTTCTTAAACAGTTTTAAACTATGGCTCACCATCCGCTTCTTCACAAAGTTTTTTGGCTTTCTCGAGAATACTTTTGATGTCACTTCTGTATTCTTCAAGGAATTTTTTTATCCTACTTACTGCCTTTAAGGCTAGTGTAACATTAAAACCCTTTGCTTCCAATTTTTCGCTGACAGGATTAATTCTGTTCAGCAAATCGTGACAAAATATCAAGGCACAAATTAAATTTATAATCCTTGATTTTGGCATACAGACTTCGTGCGTCATGTTGCACTTCTTTTGAAAAGCATTCACCTTCGGATATTTCAAAAAGAGCGTCATAGATTTCTCCTAGTTGATATCTTAAAAGTCGAATGGCTTCAATTTTGCTTTTCCATCGAGTTTCTGAGAGGGACTTTAAGGTTAAACTGAAAATGTTTTTGTAAAAGAACTGCCCATCGCTTAGGAGAAGAAGAAGAAGAAAAAAATGTATATTTCTTAAATTGTCGAAAAAAAAGAAAAAAAAAAACTAACTGTATCTGCATTCACCTTTGCCGCATCGTTAGTCATTAAATTTAAGCTATGAGCGGCATCAGGAGCATAAAACGCACGAAGATTTATTTTTAAGATATTATTTTAAAGACCTATTTTCTTCCCTTTCATATTTGCGCCGTTGTCATATTCTTGGCCTCCCATAGCATCAAGGGAAATATTCCACATTTCCATTACTGTCTCACATAGGCCGTTACCTGTAGAATCATTAACTTTAAGAAAGCCTAAGAATACTCCTTGATTTCTACCACTCCATCACTGCAGTAGAGACAAAATGTATGACGACACTCATCTGTTCAGTTTTGCTAATATCGGGAGTGCAATCTAAAATTATAGAATAATACTTGGCTTTTCGAAGAGATAATAAGATTTTATCTTACAATATTGCCAATAATTTGCAGCATTTCATTTTGACTATCTTTGCTTAGATAGTGAACTGTTACTACCTTTAAGTCATAATACTCTCTCTACGTGAATTTCCATAATTAGGTCGAACTTTGCAAACAAATCCACTAATTTTAAGAAGTTTCCGTTGTCTTTTTGGTACCAAAAAGGGTACCACCTGTACCAAAAAGAGTACCATCATCAGGATCTGTACTATCTGCTGTACTCTTTTGTACAGCAGATGAGCCTCGAAAGGCTAAATTCTGGCTGCCAAGAAATTTTGTGTGATCTCAATGTACTGGGAAGAAAGTTGGGTTATGCAAGCGCCCATAGTCCCTGTTCTGTGTAGCATTTAAAGTACATTTATTTTTCTTCTCTGTTAAGTGCAAATTCTTTTGCATTGAAAAAAGCTCAGTGTCGGTTGGCTGGTCGGCGCCCTCCTGCAAAGAAGGCCTTGCACGTCGGCTTCCGCTGGCCCTGCACAGAGGTTAGAATAGCGAACCTCGACGGTCGTAGAATAGCGAAACGTGTACTCACTGAGGAACCTTTGAAAAACACTTCCTACTATTACGGTGTCCAACCATCGAATCGATTTTGGATGTCTTGCTTTTCAGTCTTTTTTGATCCCCTTCCTCCTTAACTTTGCTCTTTTTTTAAACTTGTTGAACTTCGATCTTTTCTTGTCTTCAACAATTTTGGCTTCCTTTCTTTTCCTTTCGCGACCCTGTATGCTCGATGGTGATGGTAAATCCGCCGCATTTCACGTTGCCCCTTCGTTGCTCACACTAGATAATCTCTGCAAAACATGTCTTATCAGTGACCTATCAGCACGCTCTTAATAGCGTTGGATCTGGTCTATGTTGACCTTAGAGCATTAACCATTTTGAGCTTTAATATACTACAATTTCCTTTATCAAAAATGGTTCTTCGAATTTATTTCAAAACTTCACTTTTCTGTTTGATGCGCATAAAAAGGAATGTTTAATTTTCAAAACTTTTTTACCTCTTACCTTAAAATCAAATTCTCGCCTTTTGTCGGCGACTTTTAGAATGCTTAAAAACTCCGAAACAGGAAAATCGCACGTTAACCGCTGGCTTGTCCACCTATCATCATCAGTAAATAAATCAATTTCAGTGGTGTATACTGTTCTTATCTTCCAGTTAAGGTTTTTATGCCTTTAGCATGCAGTAATTGTACAATTATCAACAATTTAAAAGTTGTTTAAATGCCACTACGTCTATCGAACCCTCCATTTGTTCATATTTGAAAACATTTAACAGAATAGTGAACTCAGTTTCTGCACCTTCAGTGTCTTTTTACGGAGTCAAAAGTTCACTTTCCGTTTTGTGCACCGAAAAAAATTGTCTTCTTGCCCGCTGGCCGAATTGCTTGTTTTTGGTTAGAATTTAATTGTAAAAATTGTTCTTTTGACTCGAGCAATCTTGTAGGATGGAGAAGTTATTTTTAGTTATCACAGATGAAGAAATAAGAACTGTTCCACAGCGTTTTTTAATAGTTATTGAAAAAGTGAGGAAATTTTCACAGGCAGCTAAATCCAGTGAAGAGGTAATCCAACACTGGCTAAATATCATTAATCAAGTCCATCTCATAGCAATAAAAGTTTTTGAGAGTACAATACGTCATACAGTTTTTTACAGAGTAAAGCAGCCTTTTTATCAACTGTAACCCAGATAAAATCATCTGAATTCTCGCCATTTGAAGTTACGGTTCGACTGAAAAATCAGAAACGCAGATAAAATACTACAATACTGGGAAGAGCTCAGTGCAAGATGATCGTTAGGTAGCGTGCATCGCATAGCGACACCAACCTTCGATTCGGTGAGATTTAAACAACCAATCTTTTTTTTTTTTGAAATATTTTTGCTGGGTCTTATCTTTGTCGGTCTTATCTTGACTAACTGAGATGAGGGCGGTCAATAGGTGTAAACAACTGAACTTTTCCTAAATTTGGAAAAGTTTCGAAAATAAAAAAAAAAAATAGTTTTCATTTTGTTTTCAAAATGTTTCAAATTTTGTTTTCTGCTTTGTAAAATCAGTTAAGAGGCCATTCACACCAGCGGAACTTTGAGCCGAAGAAAAGCTTTCAAACATAACGGCTTCTCTATGAGGCAGGAAAAAGAAAAAGGCACCCACTCTTTTAGGAGGATAAAAAAAAAAGAGTATGCATGTATTTATTGCATAAAACTTTAAAATTTCAATGGTGAAATATTTTCTCAGCATATATAACTAGATTCCAACAAAAAAGCCATCAAACAGAGCCGTGAATTTCGGCTCGTTTCTCAGGTCAAGTTTCCGTAGTTTAAAACGGGTCACGAATCGTAGCATAACCCTTTCGTGCGATAAGTATTCACCAAGAATCCCCTAAAGTTTTTTTTTAATCAACAATTTTATCCACAGAATTTTAGATTTAACAGTGTAAGTCTGAGAATGAATGTACTAGATATTAATTATTTTTCAATGTCTGTTAGTGTTTTTCTGATAACAAATACCTTTAAATAACTATTATAATTTATATATTTATTAATAACTGTATTTAAAATGGCTTTACTCTGAAATTCTATTCTCAATGATCGTGATTTCTCGATTTTCAGATTTTAATATTTAAAGTAAGTGTTTGTAACAAAATTTGAGATTTTGTTAGTTATTGAATAAGAACACAATTTTTAATATTTTTTATTTAAATGCTTATGAATATGTAAAATATTAGGAAATATCGTACATTTGTGTAATATTTAAAAATTTTAAGTAACTGTTGCAAGTGAGAGTACATTTTCTTGGTAAAACATGAAAAGTCTTATTATTTCACAAATATGGCAGCACGATTGTTAAGATTATTGTGATGTTAACAGCCATGTTGATCTACTGTACGAGATTTTTTTTACGATTTTTAAACAAAATATTATTTGTGTATTTTCGTATGTAGTATCTATTTCTTATTACGTTGAATTTAATAGTACTTACTGACCATCGTATGCATTGATTTCATATCTTCTGTATGTTGTTCCTGTTCTCTTCACCGAATTCTGTGCAACTGTGGTTTATCAAAACAACTGGTTCAGGACAGCATGGTAGTGACTTAGTCAAAATAAATAGGTTGTGAGAAAAGTGCGAACAACTTGAAATGTCGCGCCTTTTTTAGTACATTGAAAGATTTCTTTAATTATCTATATAAAAGGTATGTTTCAGAAGTATGTCATAAGTATTTTTACAAATTATTTCTTGTATTTCATTTTATAGGAATGAAACTCTCTGTCATAAGTCAGATGCTAAATATCTATTTTTCTTCTACAAGTGGTGTGTTAATAATTTAATCTTCTTGAATATGAGGCGCTTGTTTTTTGGAACTCGCAAAAAATGTTAAATGTGGACTGTAACTGGAATTTGACTCGAAAATAGTGTTGTGTGCCCTGAAAAATTTGGTAATTTGCCGATCTCGGAAAACTGCTATATTTTCAGTTATGAAACCCTGATCTTTGAGATTTCAAATGTATTCAGTAATGCTTTTATTTGAAATTGAAAATTTTTACTTCATTTATTTATGCGGAGGTCTGAATTAAATGACCTAAATATGTATAACTGCTTTGTTTATGCCTAAATAGGTAAGAGTTAACAAAGCTGAATTTATGAAATCAGTTATCTGGATAATCATGAACTTGAGTGCTTTAATACATTCATTTATATATGGTTTATTGTATGCATTCTCTATGTGAGACTTAATAATTTATCTAATTTATAACATAGAATTTAATTGGTGGATTATTGTAGTAGTAATTTAAAAACTTTTAGAATAATGAAATGTCAGTATAAGAAAACTTTCATGTAATAAGTTGTGTTTATAAATGCTTTTTTATTGTATACATGCATATTTTAATGAGTTACTTCTAAGATAATTTTAAATAAATTATCCAGTGGTTCTTAGAGGTTTGAATTTGAAAGTACAAAATAAAATTAAATCTTGTTAATTAGGGCAAATCAGAACCATAAGTTTTGTTCACATGCGAGTATTTTGAATGAACATTTCTGCATTAAAATATTGCTGACTGTACTGATTGCCCATTGATTATTGTAGTGTCAGGTGGCATTTTTCAGTCATAATTTTCTCTTTTCTCTGTCTGTTATATACATATAAATATATATATATATTTTTGAAGTAAGAGGAATGTTTAAAAGCTAATGCTTAAAAATATATTTGACACTATAGTTCCTTAGCAAAAATGTAAAATCATGTAACATTTAGAAACAATATTAAAAGTAGTAAAAGCTATCTTGTAAAAACGTTTGGACCCTAGCAGAGCCCACACCCTTGCCACAAATGATTTTGGTTGGCAATAATTGCACCAATCTTGGTAACCCTACTTTGATACACTAGATATTCTAACCGTATAAATCCTTGAACTAAGGGTAATATGCAGAATCGCCCATTTATATTGCGCATATCGATGTATACATGGACAAAGCCAAAGAAGTGCGTAATGCCAAGTTTGTGCAATTCTTTGACTTTTTTTAAAGTGAAAATAGGTCGATGTGTACATGGATACCAAGTTTGTGCAATTTTTTGACTTGTTATTTTCCAAGTTGGCGATTTTGAGAAACGCGTGAAGCAGTGGGGGATTCTGCACTTTCCCAGGTTGTCGTCAAGAGTGTGAGCTCTCCTAGGATTTTACCGTAAAAACTAAATGTAAAAATGACAAATCAAGATGACTTCAAAATCAAAAAGGGTGAGAAAAAATTAAGAAATGTTAACACACAAAGATTTAAAACAACAAAAAAACTGTTGTAAAAATTAAATACATTTCAAATACACAGTAAATATGTACAAAAAATTGCAATAAATGGTAAATAGCTCCATTCGAGGTTTGAGCCGGATTTATCAAGGGAAAAGGAGCTCAAAACTTGAATTAAGTTAATACAGTACAAAGTCTGTAATCTGGACCTCAAAGCTACAAACTTTATGCGTACGTATAAACGCATAATGTGTTTACGCATGCACGTTTAATGTATAACGGACAGTATAAGCTAGGCTAAAATTATCTAAGGCATTTCAGTTAATGCTGCAGATTATGCTGTTCCTTAATCTTCTAATTGGATCCGGCTTATTATTTTTCTCAGACTGTTAAAACAATTTTATAAAAATTAAGCTTGAACTTTCAATTATGTCAAAAAGAGTTTCCAATTCTGGAGTTGCCAAGGGATCTACAAAGCGAAAGCATGTTTCGATGTCCATTAAATAAAAAGTGGAATTGCTGCAAAAAATGGATAATCCTATCTATCTCAAAATTATGCGAGAAGTATGGCATTGGAAAGTTCACTATATAAGATAAGAAAAAGGAACTTTTTGAATTTTTTGTGGAAGCATCTTAACTTACATTAAAGGAAATCTTTAATAAGGTAAACAAATAAATATTAAGCTTTTTTTTGTAAATTTTGATACCCTTTAGATAATAATTGTTCTTTATTTCATAAATTACGATTTCGTATTTATAATCGTATAATTTCTGCATGCCATCTTACCAGATTTAAATTAATGATGTACAATCTGGAAAAACCCCTAATCTGGAATCGCTGAAGTCCCGACAAGTCCAGGTTACGGACTTCGTACTGTACCTATAGCGTGTTTCGTCAAACAATAATAATTGAGACTATAAACATAATTTCACTAATAGAATAGTCCAACTTAATAATCTAAAAAAGTTAAGTAAATCTCAATTATATCACTTCTTTTCCTGATGTGCTGCAATTTAAATTGTAAATGTAAAACTTACTATTAAACAAATAGTAAAATCTAAAAAATTTTGCTGTTCAATGCGCAAAAATTTTGACCACTAAGGTCTCTCTAATTCATGTTGTCTTGCTACTTTTGTAAATATATATAATGGATAAATTAGCTGAAAGGAAAAGTATCTGGCCCATATGTATTAAAAATTATTTAACATATGCTGTGTTATTTTTACTTTTGATGGTTTTTTCCCCCCTTGTTTTCTGTCCTATCAGGAAATCTCTGTGTTTTATTGCTTTATTTTTAATTATTAGTTACTATCAGTGTTCATTTTTAATTTTTACAAGTTATCCTGTGTAGATCGTTTGCGAGGGTGACCAACATTTCTTATTGAGTCGTGATATAATTTAAATTAAAAGGTCTCTTTGACTAATTGATGGTAGAAAGATAAGCGAAATATTTAACGTATAACAGTATGACTAATGCAGTCGTGTTTTTATTGTGATATGACGGGTGTGTATTATTCTTCTAGAATATTACCTATCAGTTTTGATCAGTCGATTGATTTATTACCAGGCCATCATTGCAGATAGTTTCATTTAGTTCTTGTGTACAGTAATGAGCTTGAAATTCTATTTTATCTGCTGCTGAAATATAAGGCAGTTCAAACAGTCATTATTTAATATTTTAATCATTTATATAATTGAGAGAAATGAATTATTGCTAAGCTGTTTTCCAAACATTAGTTATTTATTTTATGTTATTTGCTTAAATGTCAACTAATGTAAATGAATGAAATAATTTTAAATATAGGCAGATAAACTAATTTTTAAATTTTCGGCACAAACAGCTGAAGTAAGTGCTGAAAAATAGCACCTGTGATTTTAGAATCAGATGAAAAAAATATTTGAAGTTGATTTATTCTCTTTGAGAGTTTCCAGATTTCTTCCACAAAAAGACTCATTATAATGCTGATATTAATTAAAAAATGGGTTTATCAAAACAGTTCATAGTTTCATGTTTGTTAATTTTTAAATAAGTAATCTGTATATCAGACACTAGCAAATATGACTGTCATTTGCTAATTTATATTCAGATTAAAAAAATTTCTGCAATACTTCTCTGTATTGTTGCATTTAATTGTGAAAAATCTCAAACCTAATTTGTACAGAATTTTCTACTTGTAGTAAACACCTACTTTTTATTTGTGAAAATATTTTTAGTGCATTAAGAAATATGTGCAAACCTTTTCTGGCATTTTTCTGTCACATACATTTCACAAGATAAAACATTTTGTGTTTGCCATCACAAATGTAAGAAACTTCAGTGATATGTAAACGAGTTTGTTAAGGCCATGCATTTTCCCTGACATCTTGAAGTAATTGTTCAATCCAACTAAATCGGTAGTGCCGAGTTGTTTTGTTTATTATGATGAGGTACAGATTGGTGCAGTGGTTCATGCTGTTCCTTCCACTGTTTTTTAAACTTTAAATTATTCTTTATGAAGATAGAACCACACAGAGATTACGTATAAAGAAATAAAATCGGCTAAAGTGCAGAATCGCCCACTTATTTGTTTGGCGCTTTTTACAAGAGTAAGAAGAATTGGATTTTGTCAATTTCCTTTGACATTTTAAGTAAAAGTAGGTCGGTATGTACATGAATAAAGTCAAGGGAGTGCACAATGGCATTTTTGTGCAATTCTGGGATGTTTTTTTAAGTGAAAATAGGTCAATGTGTACATGGATACCGAGTATGTGCAATTCTTAAAAATGCGCTAAGCAGTGGGCGGTTCTGCACTTTCTCCAGAAAATCAATATACTATTTTGAATATATATATAGTCCTAAATTTTAAGGCACTTAGTGTAATGGAAAATTAAATAGTTTTCTTCCATCTGCTTTTGATTCTTCATTGATAGCATATATGCGATGTGGATCACTGAGAATTTTTGAAAACATAATGTTAAAAAGTTTAAATAGTAATTGAATATTTATATGAAATGAAGGGTAACCACAAACATTTCTTAAATTCTATGAAAAGAGAATTGAAAGAAGGGAGGGGGGGAAGTCCTCATTCATGCTGAAAAGGCAGTTCAAGAAAATATAAAACGATTTTGGTAACTAAAGTAAAATTTTTAGTTTATGAATAAACAAATGTTGACTGCAGCAAACTGTTTATAAATGTATTCAGACTGAAGAAAAAGTTATTTTTAATCTTTGAGTCATATAGAAATTGTACTTTAATGTTAAAATTGATGAAATTCTGTCTTCAATGAGAGGCATTATTTTAAAAGTTCAGTTGATTTTTAAAGACAACTGAGCAAGTTTTCAACTTCAAGACATGCAGCTGTTGTATCTGTTACATTTAAATGTATTTTATTATTTTGTATTTAAAGAAAAATTTATGTGGGTTTGCATATTTGAATTTTATGTTTATTTATCTATTTATTTATATTTATTTTTCAATATGTTTATTAAAAATGTTGATGTTGAATGAAATTAGGTAGGTTTGAGCAGAAATTAAAATGAATTTTTTTTTTTTTTTTCTTTCTAGAAATCATGCTGTCTTTTAAAATGTCCTATCACATGAAGTCATGAAAAGGTAACAGAAACTTTTTACTAGAGTGCACTGTTCTTTGTGCATATCAAGGGACTCAAATAAAAAATTCCAAATGTAGAAAAAGGTGTGTGCTCAAATTTTGCTGCCTGTAGCAGTGGTTGTGATAATTCACCTGAAATACTTGCTCCTTCATTATTTTATTCATTCATTCCACTAAAAATCACAAAAGTGGCGGTTGGTTTCAGCTTAGATAAGAGGCTTTCTACTGGGAAACCAGCAGGTAAGATGGGCATTTATATATGATTTTTACATTGTGTGCATATTGTATTGTAATCCATTCTGGATGCTGTGATGAACATTATTGAAAGTATGTTTTTGTTTTATTTGCTTCATATCGTAGCAAAATTTTATCACTTCACATTTTGCAATCCATTTCTGTGAATAAATTTTTGTTAAGGAGGACAAACAATTCAAATATAGACTATATGGGATTTAAAGCATCTTCTCTTAGTCACAGTAATAGTACTTGTGTTTATAAAAAAGTCATCAAATAGAATTTATTGACTTTACACACACACATATATATATGCTTGAATTATTACACTGAAGTGACAAAAGTCATGGGATAGCAATATGCAAATATACAGATGGCAGTAGTATCGCGTAGAAAATGTATAAATGCGAAGTGCTTTGGCAGGGCTTTCATTTGTGTTCAAGTTATTCATGTGAAGAGGCTTTGACGTGATTATGGCCACACGACGAGAATTAACAGACTTTTGAACGCGGAATAGTAGTTGGAGCTAGACGCATGGGTCATTCCATTTCGGATATCGTTAGGGAATTCAACATTCCGAGATCCACAGTGTCAAGATTGTGCCGAGAGTATCTAATTTCAGGCATAACATCCCACCATGGACAGAGCAGTGGCCGACCACCTGCACTTAACGACTGAGACCAGCGATGTCTGCATAGAGTTGTAAATGTTCACAGACAAGCAACACTGCGTCAAATAACCACAGAAATCAATGTGGGACGTACGAGGGACGTGTCCGATAGGACAGTGCGGCGAAATTTGTCTTCCTTGGGCTATGCCAGCAGAGACCGACTCGAGTGCCTTTACTGACAGCACAACATCACCTGCAGCGACTCTCGTGAGCATATCGGTTGGTCCCTAAACGAATGGAAAATCATGGCTTGGTCAGATGAGTCACAGATTCAGTTGGTAAGAGCTGATGATAGGGTTCGAGTGTGGCGCAGACCCCATGAAGCCATGGACCTAAGTTGTCAACAAGGCACTGTTCAAGCTGGTGGTGGTTCCATAATGGTCTGGGCTGTGTTTACATGGCATGGACTCAGTCCTCTTGTGCAACTGAACCGATCATTGACTGGAAATGGGTACCTTCAGCTACTTGGAGATCACTTATAGCCATTCATGGAGTTCACGTACTCAAACAACGATGGGATTTTTATGGATGACAATGCGCCATGTCACCGGGCCACAATTGTTCGCGATTGGTTAGAAGAACATTCTGGACAATTCCAGCGAATGATTTGGCCACCTAGATCGCCCGACATGAATCCCATCGAACATTTGTGGGACATCATCGAGAGGTCAGTTTGTGCCCGAAACCCAGCACCATCAACACTTTCACAATTATGGACGTCTATAGAGGCAGCATGGCTCAAAATTCCTGCTGGGGACTTCCAATGACTTGTTGAGTGCATGCCACATCGAGTTGCTGCACTTCGCCGGGCAAAAGGAGGACCAACAAAATATTAGGAGGTATCCCATGACTTTCGTCACTTCAGTTTATATTGTTAATTACATTAGAGTCATAATTCAAAAAATGTAAATTATAAAGTGCTTATATAGCTGCTATATCATTCAGACTGGTTTTTAATAGAAGTATATCAGCCACACAACAGATTCAACAAAATTTGTATAAATTTTCTTTATTTTTTAGTCTTTTATATCAAATTCTGTAAAAAAACAGACCTGTTTAAAACATGTGTTATTGTGAACTGCTGTAATCAGGAATCTGGTTCATATGCAGTAACAATAACAAAATAATTTAGAATAGTGGATTATATTTTATTATTTTCAGGCCACTTTTCCATCTATTTTATTTTTTATACAGTCTTGAATGGAAAAATATAAATTAAAACTTATGGGAACTAATCCAAAGTAAAATATAAAAATAAAACAAAAGCTCTTAATGATGCTAACGAAATATTATTTAACCTAGAACTTTTCTGCAAAGTTTGACTAAATATTTATCAGCCAGAGATCCCAATAATATTAAATAGACTCATTTGAAATCCAGGATCTTTTCGTATAATCTTCACATCAACTGAATATCTTTTCTTCTATAAAATTCTAGTCTTTTGAAATATTTTTAATTATTATATTATGGGATTATCATATTATCATATTATGGGAATACCAGAATATCATATTATGGGACTATAACTTAAGATGTTATTGATTTTTTGTTGCCAACATATTGATCAATTTTTAAAACTTTATTTAATAATAGATAATTGCGAGAACACAACTCAAGATGCTATTATAATTTTTTTTTGTTGCTAGCATAAACTGTGATCAGTTATCATATCTTAATTTTTTTATAAATAAATTATATTCATGCTAGAATACAACTATTTTTTAGGCATAACATAATTGTCAACTATTCCATGTTTTTATCACATCTTCCCCTCTCTCAGTAAATCACTGAATCTCTGGTTTTTTAATTTTTAACCTTTACTGTGGGAAATTACTAAAAATATTTCCTAACACTAAATTTAATTTACTGAATTAATAAAACGTAACATGAATTTCATTTTGCAAAGGAATTCTCAATTTTTTTTCCTAAATCGTTCGTAATTTACTCTAACAAATTTTTGAATTTTTGTAGAATTTTTGTGTTTTTGAAGAAGAGGAATCTGTGTCTGATCACATCAGAAATAATATGAATTTTATTTAAAATTTATTCCAAAATAAGGTTGCTGTTTTAAATTACTTAATGCTTTACAGTAGCATGTTTCTCTTCCTAATTGATATTCAAATTATTTAAAATAAAGGAACTACACTTATATGCTCCCTCGGGTCGCCAAATTTCTCGGCAAACATTTTTGGCGAGAAACTCCACGGGGCCAAATTACTATCTAAATTTTTGGTCTACGTTTGGAACTCTAAGCCTAAAACGTCTCCAAAAACGCGATTTTTGCACATGCAAAAACGTCTTGAACACACATTTTAAGCTAAAAATCCCCCCCCCCCAAAAAAAATAGATAATAAAAACGTGAAGTTTCTAACCAAAAATATTTGATAAGAATCCATGTGCACAGCGATATGTTTTAACTTAAAAAAACATCTACGAATTGCACAGTCTAGGCAGCGAAAGAATCTACGAACTATGCACACCTCGCTTTTAATAAATTAACATAACAACAATAAATTTCAAAGAATACCATGTATACAGCATTCTGTTTAAACTTGGAAAAACATCTACGAATTGTACAATCTAGGCTTTGCGCACAAATCAACAAAATAAACTAAAATAAATTACAACACTTCAAATAACAACAGAAATTCATAGTAAAAAACACAATGAACATAAAATTCTACAAAATAAAAACAATAAAATAAAATGCACTTACCATAATACATAAGTGAATAAAATTTCGCCAGTCACACAATGTCTGTCAACAAAAGTGCCACGATTTTGCTGTATCACATGTCTTTCTGCGATTCAAAATTTCGAAAGTAACAATAAAAACTTCCTCCAAAGTTAACTTACTACACAAAAACCACAATCCAAAATTTAAACTCCGCTGACAGGCACATACTTTGCCAGCAAGCCTTTCGGACTCCATTTTAAAAATTCCACAGAAATTCCCAAACTACACTTCGATTCTCATAAATACAATCATGAACAAAAGACTCGTTAACAACTCCAACATCATACCTTTTAATACTAAGTTTACTTTCCACACCATCTAAAATATGCGACTGAAATCTTGCCACCACATCTCTAAGTTTCAACGTCAAAAGGGTTGCCATACAAACAGCATCGTCCGCCAAACTATCCCACAGCACGGAATCGCGCCAAAACCAGCGCAGAACACATATCGCCACATTTGGTGATCTGAGAGAGCATATAAGAGTAGAGCCAAAATAAATGTCAGTCTGAAAATTTAATAGTTAACTGTCAGTACATTTGCATTATTAAGTGTAATTAACTGAAATTTCTTGAATACCAGCCTTTACATTTCAGATGGAAAATAAATATAAATATGATTTTTTTCCTTTGCATCTTTATTAGTGTTATGTTTTTGATAAATAAGTAGTAAATTAAAAATTTAGTTTTGTCAAAAAACTTAATTTTATTAAAAAACTATTCTAGTCAGTCAGCTGCTTTCAGATATTTTTCTCTCTTTCTATATATATAACACAAGATTATAATATATATCCTGTTATACACCAGACTTTTCTCATATGAGATACAGTTAGGATTTGAGAGTTTTTACAGAAAAGGGTTTAAATTAATAATTATAATAAGGTTGGGTTTGCATATACAAGTATTTGCTATAAAAGTGGCAATAACTGTGGTGCGGCAAAGTTAAATAAATGATATAAAGTGGCAAAGCTTGGTTGTTAGTAAGTGAAATGTGTTTTAAAAATTCAACTATGATGCTTATAATATTTATTCTAAAGTTACACTGCAGGAGGTTTACTATTCAAATTCAGGTTTTTCTCTGTGAAGTAATTTAGTCTAAAATTTACTGTATGGTACATTATGGCGAATAGTCTCTTTTTTGACGATTAGATCAGTGCCACGCTGATCCTTCCGCCCGCTACACAAAACCAAACCAAGAAGTCAAAGATTTACACAAACTTGGTGGCCTTGTACACATCGACCTATTTTAACTTAAAAAAATATATATATATATATATATATTAGAGAATTGCACAAGTTGCGCATTGCGCACTACCTTTGCGTGTACTTTGTCCATGTACACATCGATCTATTTTCACTTAAGCAAAATTGGGAAGCTAAAACAAAGTTAAACTATCATGTTAATCAGAAAAAATTTGCTGCTGTCTTAACACACAGAGATGAACAAATAGCCAAAAATACACAAACAGAGAATAATAAATAACCCAAAATACATATTTCCTAACATAAAAACATTAAAACAACAAATCTTTTAACAAAAATTAACACACAGAGACAAATGAAACATCAATTTTTTAACATATCTTTTTTCATGTGCATA